TCAGCTGCTTATTGCCAACTGCCACACATGTTTGAATAAATTTTATTTTTATATTGATATTTATGTAAATTTAAAAAAAAGGCGCGGACCTATAGGACATTTTTTCCAAGAGGGTAAAAAAAAATCCAACCCAGAAATTTCTTGACAAGAAAAAAAAACCGTGAAGTCCTTTCCTAAATGTGAAAATTTATTTCGGCCGGGGAGAGGGGATTCTTATGCGTCATACCTTCATGTTTATGACATTTTTCATACCAAATTAACAAGAATCCACATTTTCGGTTGAGGAGGGCGGGGGGTGGGGGGGGAGGGGGGTTTTATTGATTTAAAATTAATCCTTTGATCCGCTCACATAAATCGCTACACAAGGGTAGCGATCTCTGTGAGCTATGCATGTAAAAGGATCTGATTTTAATAAAAATGGGGGGGGGGGTTCAAAGTCCATTTTAGTTGATTTATTTATACATTAAATAACTTTAAGTTGGTTTAGTTTGTGCATTAAATAACTTTACAAATTTCAGAGGGGTGTTCCGGACCCCTCTCTCTAGATCTATGCATGTAAAAAATATTTTATTTGTACAAACAAAGATATATAAATGTTTGATCGGCGTTTTCTAAGAGGAAGGTCCAAGGTCAGTTATACCGGTAGTTCGTTTAGTTTATTTAACGTATGACTGTACAAATTTTAACCCCCCCCCCCCCCCCGATCTATGCATGTAAATCATCATAGCACACAGAGATACACATCTTTAATTTGAGGAAATTTTTAATTACAGAATATATGGGAAAACGGAAATTTATTTTCAAAACATCTTTCTGTGCGAAACGACAAATCTAATCTTTTTTATTATTATTCTCTCTTCAAAGGTTTTGTTGTCTCCGGGAGGGGGGGGGGGGGGGCTTCTTTAAAGATTAAAATCAGAAAATAGTCATTTTATTACCTTTTTCAAATAGGAAAACAAATTTTAAAAAAATGAACAATGTACTTTATCAACCGCATATATTGAATATTACATAAGATAAAACATATTGGTCATTTTATTCAATTCAATTTTACCAGGGTGATCCCCTTGGAAAAAAATATCCTGGATCCGTGCATTTTTCCCCCTTTTTGGGGGGTGAAAATTCATATAAATATCAATACAAATATAAAATTTATTCAAATATGAGCGGCAGTTGGCAGTAAGCAGCTGACAGTTGGCAGTTAGCAGTTGGCTGTCGTATATGGCATTCCATAGGTTGTAAATATTTTTTTTATTTTCTTTGATAAAATACCAAAAAAAAAAAATTCATATAAAATAATTGAGAGCTAATGTTGACCTTTCAATGCTGAAACCATTGTTTAAAAATGTTGACTCAGTGATCTATAAAATAAAAAGTTGGTGTGGCATTCCTCCTTAAATATTTTTGATGTTTATTTTTTGTGAAACTGTTATAGTGACTCCTAGGAAAAACGGACATAAATGTTACAATCTCACAAGGTCTTTAAAACTAAATAATGAAAAAAAAACCTATGGCCGTGTCTGTAAAATCTGACCAGAGCTCTACATTCAGCCTACATACAAGACGATACAACAAGACTTCCAGAATATCTACTTCTTTTCCTGTACTTAATTTTGTGTGGTTTGTTACACGTAAAGTTTACGAGAGATGAAAACATTCATTTAAAAATGTTTTGTTGGATTCCATTTTGGATTTAAAAATTGACGTGAATTTTTTTTTTACATGTATGTACATGTACATGTAAGACAGGTATACCTCCACTACATATTTGTTTATATGACCTTGTATTTTGATTATTTAAGGAATAACTGTCTTATTTTTTGATTTCATGATGTGATCAATCGATTGGCTTGCATAATAATTTGCATAAATGGGCGTTCATGCATAAAATTATCACGCAAGCCAATCAATTGATCATCTTCATGAAATCGCTAAATAAGACAGTTATCCCTTATATTTACATGCTCTTGATTCCACCAATCCACGTGCTACAAGGCCTGCTTCTGTCTAGCTATTTGTCCCGACCTGCACGTGGTTTCTTAACCGCGCTATTGATGAACCAGTACATTCATGTAGAAATAAAGTACATTAACTATTTGTAATTTTATCTCGGAGAAAGACATTTGAAATGTAAATATACCTTGATCAAATTGAGATCTGTTAAGGGTACCTCTACTTATCAGTATAAACTATAAAGGTTGACGATATTAAAAAATCGATTAGAACTGGTTTTTCAATCGACTTCATGCAGTGTGCGTTTCAATCAATTAATCTTACAATCGTATGATTCATTTAAATTATTCTCCGTATGCTTATTCATACAGACGAAATATATTTCTTCATGAGTACGGGAGTTAACGGTTTAAGAAATTGCAAAAAAAAAAAAAATATTTAAAAACTTGAGGTTCTGTGAGCAATGAGCTCACTAAATGATAGCCCCCCCCTCCCATATGGTTATAACTGAAGACAAAGTCCATGATTTGTTGTGGCCGGGAAACCCAAAATATGTGTCGGATCAAAAATAAAATAGGAGGTGCAAAATGGCAATATGTAATAAAGATTCTGTGAAAGTTTCATTAAATTTCACTCAGTGGTATAAGAGGACTTGCGGATAAGAGATGGGTACCCTAAAGCGGAACAGACGGACTGAAGGACGGACGTACAGCTAGGCGGACAGACGGACATACTGATTACAGTATACCCTCCCACTTTTCAAGCGGGAGGGGGGGGGTATAAAAATCATGTACTTCAATCCCAATTTATAAACAAAGAAAGCCTTTTATCTTTAAATTGCTCTTCACAAGGTTTCCTGCAAATGTAGACTTAATAAAAGATGCCATATTGCAATGGCATTCTGAATCCTGACAGATGTAAAACATCTTTACTTTTATACTTTAATTCATTTTAATACTAAAATAAAATTTGTTTAAACACGGAAAATATTTCAGAATGCTACCCTCAGCATCAGCAACACACTTGACATAGGCTAACACTATAATATCACACGTGTGTAAAATAACAAGATACAGTTCGCTGTGAAAATCATAAAACCTCTGTTGTGTGTTTGAATGAATTAGAATAAACTTGACCTCGGTCAAACCTAGCATCCGATGTAACAACAGACGAAAAATGTCAGTGAGCAGTAGAAATAACGAAACTTTGGATAAAGAACTTCCTAAGTATCAAGCAACAATAAGGAGATCTGGTATCATTTTCAAAGCTATCTTTTCTTTTATTAAAAAAATAGGGCTTTTGAAAACTTACTTAAATCGAGCTAAACGATTTCTGAATTTTTTTGCGCTGACATTCGTAATTTATGGCATTCAGTATACTTAATATAGTATGTGGCGCCTGTTTTGGAGGGTTACAAGAGAAATTAAACCCCATTTGAACCATTGTCAGCCTCCGCGATGCGTCAGTTGCCACTGGTTTTCTACTGGGCTTATTATCACTTGCAATTGTTACCAGAAACATGTCATATTTACACAGTGATCCAATTTGTCACATTCCACTTTTTATGTTTGTCATTACTAAACAAATATAATTCTCTTTTCTGCTAACCATTACTGAACGTTTCTTTTTATTAATTTATTAATTAAGAAGACTTACCTATTCTTTTGCAACATTTGATTGCAGATTTTCCATGGCATCCGTTTGCTATATTAGCGCCTGCTTTTATTAGGGATTTTATCACTTCTCTACTGCCACCATTTTCTATGGCAAATCCAAGCACTGAAAAACCACTAGGATAGTGGATTTCATTTGGATTGGCACCACGAGCTAAAAACTCTGGAATTAGCGAAGGGCATCGCCTAGCAGCAAGACAAAATGTGGAAATCCATAAGTACTTTGGATTATTTAGCCTTATCGAGCCAGAAATGTCAACTCCCGATCGGAGCAAAACTTCTGCATTTCTTGCTAAACCATGTTTAAGAGCCAGATGTATAGGTCTTTGGCAGTGGCGCCAAACTTCGTTTTTATTAGCTCCATGGTCAATAAGTAGCTGTACCATGTCGTGATAGCCACTTTGCTCGCTTACCCAATGGATTGCCCTTTTGGACGAATGGTATCCAAGGTTCACATCAGCCCCAAGCTTGCATAGCAATGATACGAGGTCTAATTTACTCTCCACAACAGATTTTAACACTTCAGTTGACCCATCTTTTCGGAATCGATTGATGTTAAATTTGCCTTGTGACAAGAGAAGTTCAATGACCTTTTTCCCCTCTTCTGGATCTCTTTCATATGATTCTGTTGCATAATATAGAGCATCATAACCAGCATCTGATGGAGAATGAAGGATTGAAACATCCGGACAATCTCTTAAAATGAATTGTATAGCCTCCAGGTTTTTCCTTTTGCAGGCATAATGAAGCAAATTTAGCCCATCTAGCTTTTTCGACCACAAATTTGCGCCAAATTTGACCAAAATTTTTAAGATATCGCTCGGATTTCTAGAACTGCAGGCAAGATGAAGTAATGGTGTCCCATCACGGGTTCCGTAAAATGATTTTTCAAAAACATTGTTAATATCAAAGTTACTTGGAAGAGTAACACATATTTCGGAAATTTTCTCAACGATACCGCCTTTAGCTGCATCTATCAATTTTTTCTGTAACACGGCAGTATCTAAAGTTTTGTTGCTCGAGGCGTCGTCTCGACGATCCATAATCCAATTCACTTTTGGTAAAACCCAGAAGTAATTTTCAGCGACGCAGTAACTGTAAGGAATCTCGGATAGACCTTTTTTGCATAGACTGGTTCTTTGACTTTGAAAGGGAAATGGACACAGATTTAATATTATTTTATTAATACATGCATTTTCAGTATTCTATCATTACTTTCAAAATTTTTAGAGCACTTCAGACCTATCTTATATAAAAATGCATTTAAAATTCTTTGTTAAGAGTTTCAGAGTGCGTTTGATATTTAAATATATCATTAAAATGAAAATCAATTAATACAAATGGAAAATTACAGAACACAAATGAAAATTTTTAAAATAATGAAATTATAAAATACAAAACCAAAATATGTATAATATAAAAATAAAACAATTCAAATGATACAATATATATTACCAGTACTTCGCTGTTGTGTTGGTAATGGTTTCTAACATGTCTACTCTGAATTTGTCAGTTAAAGTTAATTCCGTCTATATTTAGAATACATTTTACTTCGAAATGTTCAATGATATATGCGTCTATTAAACGCACTCTGAAACTCTTAACAAAGAATTTTAAATGCATTTTTATACAAGATAGGTCTGAAGTCCTCTAAAAATTAATTGGCCCAGTGGTTATTGAGAAGAAGATTTTTAAAGATTTTCCTATATATTCCTATGTAAAACTTTGATCGGCCATTTTGGCCCCACCCTACCCCAGGGGGTCATGATTTGAACAAACTTGAATCTACACTACCTGAAGATGATCCCAAATGAGTTTCATATTTCCTGGCCCAGTGGTTATTGAGAAGAAGATTTTTAAAGATTTTCCTATATATTCCTATGTAAAATTTTGATCGGCCATTTTGGCCCCACCCTACCCCAGGGGGTCATGATTTGAACAAATTTGAATCTACACTACCTGAGAATGATCCCACATGAGTTTCATCTTTCCTGGCCCAGTGGTTCATGAGAAGAAGATTTTTTAAAAATGCCATTAATTTTTCTCTAATTCATAATTATCTCCCCTTGGAAAAGGGCCTGGCCCTTCATTTGAACAAACTTGAATCCCCTTCACCCAAGGATACTTTGTACCAAGTTTGGTTGAAATCGGCCCAGTGGTTCTTGAGAGGAAGATGAAAATGTGAAAAGTTTACGACAACAACGACGACGACAGACGACGGACAAATTTGGATCAGAATAGCTCACTTGAGCCTTCGGCTCAGGTGAGCTAAAACACACACATCAAAATGAACAGTAGATCAAAAAGCATAAATATGATTCATATTTGTATTGTTTGTATTTGAATCCAGGGACAGAGTTTTATTTTGTCTCGCTCACAAGTAGCCAATAACTAGTTCGCGAATATAAGATGTCGCAAAATTTAAGTGATCTACAGTAGCTCCAATCTTTTCAACCGACTCGATCGCTAGATTTGAATTAATGCAATGTCTAAAACGTCATTGCTCAATCTCATGCAACATGTACATTGTGTTTTGCACTTATATTTATATTTAAGAGTCAAAATCAGCAAGCATCGAGCATTGAATGGAAAGTCAAAATTTTATTTTTTCAAAAGCTTTTGGTATATGAAAGATTTTGTCCTACCTAATGCTAAAACACAATTAAATTTTTTTTCGAACATATGAAGGGACTGGTATCCAAGGAAATTCATTTCCTTAGCAATGGGTTCATAAATCCTTATGAAAATCAATGATTTTTAGACATTTTTCTACGAATATGTTTTCTGAACGTGATAAGATAAGGTATTTTGGTTACTTTATTTGTTAAAAGATGGAATTACTTTATTCTCCAAAAATAGGAAAAACAAAATTTCTGTAGTGATATTGTTGCCATGACAACGGGAAAAGAACATGGCGTCAATGCTTATTAATTTTGAAAAAAGTTGCATATGTTTATCACTTTATTCACAAAATCTACAACCACTGCTGGAAAAATGAATGGTATGATCTTGTTAGGGGTTATCTATATGTCATATCTATACAATAAAATTTGCAGGCAACTTTAGCAGAAAAAAGTTACAAATGGTTAAAATGTGTGAAAATCTGGCATTTATAAGCTTTTTTGAAGGAGTGGGGGTAATTTGAATACATGTTCAGTGTCCATTATATTGGCCATATTGGTTCTGATCAAAGCATACTCATAACTTTACTATTGTTAATAAATAAATGCACATTCAATTTCAAAAGGAATTTTATATTCCTCACAAACGAAACTTGGAAAAAAGGGGGGGGGGGGGGGTAGGAATCACCTTGTTCACCGATCCATATGTATGTAAAATTTTGACTTGTCCATACATTTCAATGAAGTGCCACTGAAAGTTCATACTTGATATTAAGATTGCTTGCGATCGAGAGATGTGTCAAAAACTTGACTCAAGGTCATTTGAACAAGTTCAAGGTCATTGGTAGAAGAAAAGTGCAACCTTTGCCCATTCTGTAACATTCTAATGAAAAGACTTGGTTTCATCTTGGGAATTATTTTTAAGCTGTAGGTTTGTCATTACCTTGACCAAAATTCATTTGAACATGTTTACCCTTGACTCAAGGACATAGCATTTTCAAGGTCACTGCAGTAAAAGTGTACTATATGAGTTTGGCACATTTACATATTTAACTTCGAATGAAGGCAAATTGGAAGTTTGTGCTCAACACATCGGTTTTACTACCTATGACTTGAGTATTTGTCATAGTCATTTTTGGTAAGTATATCTGCACTAGTAAAATTTTAAAAGGTTTCAAATTAGTATTTAGACCTTTTTTGTAATAAAAAACATTTAATGCAATAGCAGGAGTGTTGGTATCATTTCATTAGCTTGCTCACAATAATTCTTGTTTATGAAAAAGAGTCAATATGACAGCTCACATAATTATAAAGTAAAACCATGTCAATCAGGCATGTAGCATCAGGTTTGGGTTGGGTAGGGGGGATGACATCCCCCACCCAACTTTTTTCTCAACGTACCCTAATGTTTAACCACACCCCCCTCCCGAGTTTGTCCGTTTGTCCTTCCGTCTAGCTGTCTTTCTGTCTGTCTGGAACGCTTTCGTTTGCACACGATATCTCGAGAACCCTCTGAGCTTTTGCAATGAAATTTAGCATAGCAACAGTTACTCCCTATGGACTAAAGAAGAACCCTATTGATTTTGTGGTCAAAAAGTCAAAGGTCAAGGTCATAAATAAACAAATTCTGTCTTTTATAACACTTTCCTTTTCACACAGTATCTCTAGAACCATTTGAGCTATTGCAATGAAATTTTACATAACAACTCCCCGTTGCATTATGAAGACCCCTATTGATTTTGAGGTCAAAAGGTCAAAGTTAAAGGTCGTAAATTTATACATTCTCTCTGAGTGTAACACTATCATTTCCGGGCGATATTTCAAGAAGATTTTGAGCTTATGCAATGTATTTTATACCAAAACTTCCTAGGACCTCTCTCAAAGTGTCCCGCCCCGTTTGTTTTATTAGTATTTATAGTATTACATGTCGCTATTTTTAGCACAGGGGCATGAGGAGAGTTATTGCGTATAAAACAGGTTCTCGGCAGAATTTATATTCCTATTACATCTACCAGAACTGTTTAATAAAGGTTGAATTAGACACCATGTTTTGTGTAAATTTTTGACGATATCAAACGTGAATATATACATGTATGTGACTTCATATTTGCATATAATTGTCGAAATTTTACAGCAGTTCCGTGGCGCAGTGGTATGTCTCCCGCTTCACATGCGAAATTCTTTTTTTTACTAAATGATAGTATTCAGCATGTGAAATGAAAAAAAATTATGAGGTCTAGCTTGTACAAACTCATAAAATCATCATTACGTTGTGATAAATAATCCACATAAAAAGAATCTTCTATACACATAATCAAATCATTATATCAATATTGACATATTTTATTTGCTTCAGTATACATGTATACATTTAAGAATTCTACAAATTCAATTAGGGGGATCCGACCCCCCCACCCCCACCCCGCCCCGAACTGCGCATGGTTTACTTTTCCCTAAGCGGGGGACACAAATTCTCTGAATTAGCTTGTTAGATTTACATCAATAAAAAAATGCTAACAGACAAAGAATGTTACTTTTGGATTGTCAAACATTTTTATTTGATCCACTTTCATGAATACACTGTACAATTTATGGATCTATTTTCTGGATCCCTGAATCTCCGGTAACGCTATCCACTCACTTCCAGCATCAATGGTCTGTACTGTAATGATGTATTCTCATAATGATAATCTGAAAAAGTGATAAAATTAAAATGTAATTATATTATACAGCTTTGCCTTCAGATACTTACTAAGAACCATTTCTAGTTGAGCTTGAGCAATGATGACGAATGCAAAGCATGTTTATTGGAATCAATTAAAATTCCGAAATCTAATGGTTTAGT